CTGATTGTTGTTTTGTGTTATTTTCCTATGGGGGTTTCATAGACTAACTTGGATTATATTTCTTTTTATTAGACACTAAGTTGTAAAGTATAGCAGTTTGGGTTGTCTGATTGTATTTCAAAGGCTGCACAGTTGAACTAAAATATCATGAATTGGCAAAAGTTGGAATTCATGAGCTAATGGATTGGACTGGATCCCATTGTCTAAATAACTTACTAGATCGCCTTCTTCTTAACCGGATGGTTCTGTGCTAAAACTCTGGTGGGTGAATGCTGCCGAAGAGTCCCAAAACCAGGCAACAAAAAAACCAATGCTCAAATACTCCATTTTTCTAATGGTTCTTTGACTGATTTCAGTTCATGATCAAAACCTGAAACCAATATAATCACTACAAACCAACACTAAACTGTTTCATGTTGAGTTCATTAAAAATATTTTAAATGAATTACTCAACTGTTAATTTTTTATATTTAGGGGATACTTTTTGTTGAAGAAAGACTGTTTTGTCAATATTTCACTTCAGCTTTAAGTTCTTTAATTCATTCTTTTGAGTTCGAAGGGGAAAATAGCCTAGACCTACAAATTCGCATATCCACTTTATTCTATTTTCTGCTGTCCTCTTCGGTCCTCAGTCCATGATTGACCATAATCTCTATCATATCCTCCTCCCTCTAGGTACACGATCTACTTTACGCTATCCTCGCACTGATGACCCACTCATCGCCTCTCACTGGAATGTCACTCGAACGATGGCCTGCATTGCTTGTGATTTCATTCATCGGCCTACTTTGTAGGGTATACCCGGTCCATCTTCATTTTCTTCTACAAATTTGTTGAGTAATCGACTCTTTCCCGTTGGTTTGTCCCCGACCAAAGTTTCTTGTTGCAATTTGATTCTCAGTATGGAGAGAGAGAGAGAGTAGTGGCAATCTTTCTGGTGAAACTCAGTGCAAGTTTCTGACCCGTATAGAAAGAATTGACTGACTGACTGACTTCACATGTGTTTAGAAAATCCTCAGCTTACTACCAGCGAATAAAATAGACAGGACTTATGCTTGTGTATAGACTGGGAATCTAACTGAGATCATGTGATTGGTTAGTGGTCTTTCCACTCATCGTCCAATCGCCTATGCGTACTGTTCAATATAATATTGAATGAAATCGATGAATATAAACTCTAAAGGGTTAATTGTTTTATTTTGCATTTTTGTTTCTTATCAAAATATATACTTTAAAAAAAAGTTTAATTTATCTATTCTAATAATTAATTATTCAATTTTCATTTTTTTTTGTGAAAATTCAGTTTCCTTAATCTTGTTTTAATGATCTCTAGGTTATGGTTACACCCAGAGTATATTTATTCAATATTCAATGCTCACTTAATACTGTATTTTTTCATTTGTGTTTTACAGTAGAAAAAAGTTACTCTTTGCTGTTTTTTTGGTGTGATTAATATCATCATGAGATGAACACACTGACTACTCATAGAAAAAAGAAAATCAATTTTGTTAGTTTATGCTTGATTCTGAACAGATAAAACTGTATAATAGTCAGAAGACTGAGTGACTCTTTTATTTTTATTTTGTTAACAACAATAATAGGCGGGATAGTTCTCATGACTAATTATAACATCTTGTTATGTTAGCTGGATGTTTTCGTTATTGTTTTCTTTTGGTTTTATTTTAGGCTAACACATTCCTTTAATTTTATCAGATCGGTCTGCAAGAATGTGGTGGGTAAGATCAATAAGTATACTGGATGTAGTCTTAATTAGTTTCTCAACTTTTCTAAAACAAGATCCCTTTTTCATATGTTAGTTTGTAAGGATTTAATTTGTTTGATCAGGGATTAATTTAAGTTAGAGAATCACTTGAAACTAAGAGAGGGTACTGGAGAACTGTTTCGCCCCAGTTTGCTACTCTTCAGAAGCATACATCGACTGGGTTTCGGAGACCGGCAAGTTTGTATGTCATTTACTCAATGAGACCCGACTCAACGGCCTATTAATTTCGACTTTTACCAATTCGTGAGTTTCGCGAAAACACCAGCCATTGTCATCGGTGATTACATGTCTTCATTTCTGACCTGGTGATGTTCACTGGTCACAACTCTTCACAAGAATTTCAAGCAGTTTTGTCCTGTATCCAGTTACTAGTGAGCATCAGATTGATTTTGTGCGTCGGTGGTATAGCGGTTAGGACGCTCGCTGACCATGCACAAGGTCCGGGGTTCCATCCCCAGCCGACACAATCCTTCATCTCGATGAGTCAGAAATAATGCAACCCCATCCTGTAAAATGAACACTGCCACAGAAACTTCAAGCCACTAGCTTGAAGTCCTATGTTCCACAGGGGAACGTGAAGGAAAAAAATCAGATGGATTTTCATGAGTTAGTCTGTAGGGACTAGTGCAGTCCACCAGGCCGAGAGTGAGGAGTAATTTTTCCCTGGTGATATTGGCCGGTGCTCGCACTAAATCCACGGATTAGTAGAAGTTAGAGTTCACTGGTCGGTCATTAGATTGGGTCATGGTGGCTGAGTGGTATATTGGCTAGTATTGTTAACGCGAGATCCAAGGTTCAAAACTTGGTCGGTGCGTTCTTCTAAAAAAATCTTTTTATGCGTGAAAATTCATTCCAGGGTGAATGTACGATTGTTGAAACACTTCATGTAATCTTGGATTTTAGAAATATTAGAAGTTGTCATTGGCACTAGATTTTACCAGCCTTTTTTATTTTGATTTGGTGTTGACTAGCAGTAGAATCATTCACTGAATTTTCGCACTAATTGGATGTTCCTGGATTCCACGGAGGAAAGACGTTCTCAGTGAGATTACAAGCCACCACGTCAGCATGATATTTAGTTTTGACCACGATGCACGCATGATACCTCTAAAACTTTTGGTTCGACTAATTAGACTCCAAGTCGCAAACAGTATACAACTAACCCTAGGCCACTAGGGATATCAATGACTTTCTTCGAAAATGAATTATGATGGCGAATTGGTCTCTGGATGCTCTTCAGTGAAATTCTCTCAATTGTTTCTATAATTTTTGATTACAGCTTGATTCCTTACTGTATTTTTTGATACAAGTCTGGAATTTTCAGCATGTGATATTAGTAGCCCAAATTTCACAGGCCGACCATAGATATCAGGTGTGCGTCGGCAGGGGATCAAACCTCCTACCATGTACATGGTCGGCGAGAGTCATAATCACTGTGTCACCGACTCACCTACAAACTGATTAGTTTATTTTTTTTCCTTCAGGTTCCACGTGGAACATAGGGCTTCAAGCTAGAAGGCTTGAAGTTTCTGTAGCAGTGTTTATTTTACAGGTTGGGGTTGCTAGCCTCATGCCCAACCTTCTCTCTTCACCAGTCTGATTACTGGCTTAGCGAGGCGAAGGAGTGCGTCGGTCGGGGATCGAACCCTGGACCATGTGCATGGTCGGCGAGCGCCCTAACCTCTATGCCATCGACGCATAATGATAATAACAACAATGGCAGCTGTTTCGGCACTACTGATTGCTTATGTAACACCTACAACAAGTAGTAAATTAGCAGTAAATTCAAGTGGAGTTATGAGTTGGCTCAATCCTATAAATCGTTCTAAAAATCACATAGTTTACTTTTCCATTTTTTGAAACAGATCCTCGATTTTTCAATGTGTTTGAATCTGTTTTCCTGTTTTACACCTGCGTTCCTTTACTCATATCAAATGTATCTTTCTGCTGTTTGATGTTTTTGTATCGATGAACGTCTTTTTATACACTACTGGCAAATCTTATTAGTAGCACTTGACACATACTATGTCTCTGTTGTCATTACACGGATAATTCGACTACGCCATTAGATCAACTTATCGCCTAAGTAGGCTAGTAGATAACGGTGTGATGTTTGAAAGGATGACTACTGTGTTCGACTGTCAGTGAGAACAGCATCATTCACTGAAGATCCAGGTACATTGAGCTAATCAGTCTCAAATAGATGAAAAAGTGCTTCCCCGGATTCTACTTTTTGCCACTGTCAATGAAATCATATCATATATACATGCATAATAATGACAGTGAGACAGTATGGTTGATTTTCTTTATTTTATTGTCCACTCAGTTTGTTTTCCATAATTCTTTTATCCCTTGACTTTCCCAGTGAAACATAAGGCTTTAAACTAGATGGTTTGAAGTTTCTGTGGCTATGGTGCTTAATTTTGCAGGGTGGTGTTGCTAGCTGCCTCATGCCCAGCCTATCCTCTTCACCAGTCTTATTACTGGCTTAGAGAGGTAAAGGAATGCACCGGCCGGCAATCGAATCCTGGGCCATATAAGGGCCTGGTTGGCGAACATTCTACCGCTGTGCCACTGACACTGGTGGGTAGAACTTATCATACAGCGAAATTTATCCAGTGAACGTTGATTCTCACGATGGACTGATGATAAACATAAGTCAATTTTGGTCTCCATTTGGCGGGAGACAAAAAGACTGTCATCATTTAATTGTCTACTGATTGGCAGAAGATTGGAGAAATACGATTAGAAGTATTGTTGAATATATTATATTAACGTTTATTTAAGGACTTGAGCGCTGATTAACCACTGTAAATCTTTTTCATTATCTCTTGAAGAATAAATAATCGTGTCGCTCAACCGTTTTCTGTTGACCTACGTCGGTTACAATGCATAGCTTACTATTACGTATTAAGCTTAATCTTCTGAAATCAGCGATAGGTCCAGGATCTTAGCCATCTGGAAATTTGATAACATGCTTACACTGCTTCCAAATCATCCTTATTATTTTCCACACATCATAACTATCGTTAATAAATGACACTGCTATACACTACTACTGCTACTTCACATAAGTAGTTTGGAAACACTCATCTTTAAAAAAATGTACTGATTTCTCTCCTCGACTTGTGAAATTTGCAGATAACAGATGTGATTCAGTGAAAAAAGTATGTGGTAATTACTAACAGAAATATACGCGCCCCCTGGTTACACTCACTTTTGGACTTTCAAATAATCCATACATATCTTGACGTTCTTCAAAGAAGATAAGATTTTCATTTTCTGTCTTCCAGTCTAGGAGATAATCTAACAGATATTCATCGTCTTCAAGACAACGTTCTAAAAAATAACAGAAGCGAAAAAAAAGATTCAAGAGAGTAATGAGAATGTTTTTTATTCTTCTATGAATGCATTTTCATCATTTTGTTTTAGAGACAACTGACTACAATTCTTTAACAGATATCTACTGAAATTTATCGTTTTGGTGGAATGAGTATATCTGAACGAAGCTGTGACTTGCAGCTCGACGGATATAGAGTGTGTTTATCATACCATACCTACAGACTTTACGCAGTGTTATTATATTATTATTATTTCCTTTGATTCATAATGGTTCAAAAGCACGTCTCCGTTGCGTTCGGTTCTCTCCTACAGTTTTTACCTGGCTCCACGTCTGCCCACATGCTTTCGTCTGTTCTTCACATCACCTCCTCCAAGTCATCCTCACACTGACGACCAACGCGCCGCTTCCCTTTCGAGTTCCACTCGAGCAATGGCTTGTCTAGTGATGCCACTTGATGGTTTGTTTCCTCAGAGTATGGACAACCAATCCATCTCCATTTATTTCCTGCCTATTTGTTGCACAATCGGTTTCTGCTTGGTTGGTACGCTCATTGCCAGAGATCCGTGTTGCTGATCTTTTCAGTGCAAGTCTCTGATATGTATAGTAGCACTGACTGACTTCACATTGGAGTTGAAAATCTGGATCTTATTCTCATTTTCATGCTGAGTGCTGCTGACTTCCACACAGACTTGAGGTAATGAAGGCTTGCCTCCCCTTCCGAATCCTTGCTTTGTTAAAATCCCCATCAGTTCTGTCCGCCTATAGTTGAGACGATGACTCCCAGGTAGGTGGGTAAAGGAAACTGTTTCCTTCTGGTTCCCTCCATTTGTTCTGATTTTAGTCTGTTGTACCTGTCGGTGGTGACCAGTAACCTTCATCACCTCTGTTTTCTCTATGTTCACCTGAAGTCCTATCTTTGATGCTTCTTCTGTCAGCTTGTTGCTTTTCACTTGGATATCTTCCATTTTGTGGGAAATCAGGCACATGAAGAGTAGTTTTCGAGATCTCGTTGGTTTGATTACAGATTCACATTAGTGGCATTAAAAATCGCGAATAGGCTGAAGTTATAATTCATGGTGAATGAATTTTGTAGCATTGATTGAATGGTCTACGTGCTAATCTAATAACCGAAAGGTTCTAACTTTCATTCATTGTTGGGTCATAAGTGTGCAGGACTTACTTTTCCTTCTCCTCACACGACCACCCTGCGTCACTCTGATAACAAGCCCAACTCATCGTCTCTGATAAGGTTCCTAGTCGAGGACAGACCCGGCGCGTGATGTCACACAACTTTCTCCTCAGCGTGTTTCTAATCAATTTTCATTTCATTTTGCCCATTTATTGAGTAAGAAGTTTCTTGGATGGGTCGTTGTACTGGCAGAATTCCATGTTGGTAATTGCCTCTGGCATTTGATTCTGAGTATTGAGTCGGTGAAGGCAGATCTTAATAAAAGTCTAGAGCGTTCTGGAAATAATTTTGGTGACACTCAAAGTATCTCAACCATACAGAAGAATCGACTAAATTGAATTTCTTCAGCCAGAATCCCACTCTACCGCATTCAGTCAAAGTAAAAGAGTTGTGTTTCTAGCCATCACATAAAATATACATGTCTGATAGCTTGGTGCATTTAGGGTAACGTCTATTTAACTGACTGAATACTTGCCATAATAGGTACTGATGAATTCTACAGTGTAGTAACACTTTTATTTAGTATTTATTGAACCTATCAATGGAGCCTTTTCTGGTTATACTAGTCAGCTTTATTTATTTGTTATTTTAAGTCGCTGAATTGATTGATTAACTGAGTGAGCACCAGATATAATACTTTAAAAACATTTAAATTATTATTATTAACTGCCTATATTATTAATACCCAGGTAGATGATGGACTATTGAGCCATTGGATACCAGAAGATAGCAATGGAGAACTGTTTTGTCCTTTTTTGCAACTTTTCAGCAATATCCACCCATGAACCCGTTGTCAGGGTTACTAGGCAGTCTCGTTGACCAGTAAGCTACTCAGATGAAATTCAATACTCCGTGAATTTCAAACTCCTGTCAGTTCACGTTTTATTACTTTATCACCACCGAATACTATCGGTGACTGTTTTTCCTCAACCCTACTTGGTGAACCCTACAGCTCATTAATTCTTAGTAGAACTTCAGCCAGCTTTATTGTGCAGTCAGTTATTAGTTAGCGCTAAACTAATTGGATTGGCTGATTTCTAATTCGATCACGAACTCAGTTTAGCTTATCCCTGGCCGTGTCATGGCCATGTACTGATGAACAGTCCTAAATAAGGACGAAACACACTTTTACAGTACTCCGTAGTTATAGAAATGAATTCAGTTCGTGGTCAGCCTTAAAATCTATCAGATCCCTACAAACCAATAGTTGAATATGTAAGTAATAATAGGCAATAAGCATATTCTCTTTTGTTCATTCGGAGTCCTCTTCAAAAAGCAGATATTAATACGTGGGAAGTCCTGACTACCTTGAATATAACTCGTGTCACAGTTAAAGGCTTCTTGACTGATCTCTACCATGATGGTGTGGAGTGATTAACGTTTACACATCAAGCTTTCAAGTCGATATGCGACATATGAGTAATGCAGCCAGTGTATTCTAAGTTATACCACTTAGTGACATGATTTCACTTTTACTGTGATTAACGATATTTATTAATATAATCGATATTCATTTATATTCACGATTAACGAGTTTTTGGTGCTTCTTTCTGACGACACTCATTGAGGTTTAGTTAAAATTTTCTACGTGAAACACAGACAGATAAATTCTTCTGTATGTTGAAGACTTCAAAACTATATACCCTTTATATAGTGTAATAAAATCACCATTACAAGTCAAAGTGTTATCCTAACGATTGTAGTAACATCTTCACATACAGACTGATACAAGGGTTAGTTTGCAGGCATTTGATTGGCTACAGGTTTTAACAGCATTTGACATCAGTTAGAGGACCACTGAGAAACTAAGTAGTACTGAAGGGCTGTTTCACCGATATTTCGGGATCTTCAAATGAACTCCCCAGTGGCTAAAAGGTCTAAAACTCGCCTATAACAGAAGGGTCCTGGTTAGAACTTCCTAGGGTTCATCCATCTGGAGAGTTCAGAACTAGGAGGGAACACCTATGAGGATTGATACAAGCCAAGTTTTTTTTCGATTTGTAAATCTTTCAAAAAAAATGAACACGACAAGAAAATTAATACATTTAAAACAAAGTGAAGTGTCATTTACTTACCTATCTGTAAGACAGGAATTCTTTCCACCAAGGCATGTCTCATATTCAAATTTTTTGATTTGATTGAGTCAAATTTTGTAAAGTTTGCAGTACAGTTGTTGTATTATTTACAGAAGCATAACGACTTGTTCGATCCGGTAAATAGATTTGTAAGCTAAGCTTCAATTTAAATATAGAAAAAGAAATTATTGCTATTATTATAATATTGATAAAAGGAGCTTGAGCTCAGCTTATGACAGTGGAAAACACACACATCGAAGAAAACAACACAAGTTTATTAACTGATTGTCAGGCTTACTGGAAATAACAGAAAAAGAAATGCCTTAATTACCGTTGAATTGTCGAGTCATACTCAAAAAAACTGATGGGCTATTGAAATACATCCGGCGATTTCCGAAGTGACTGTTTAATCTTGTAATTTTCAGTGTTGACAGTGCGACAGACTCTGTGGTATTTATTGATTTCATTTAGCTTGCTTTCATAGAACATTTCGAATTTACAATAAGAATGTAATCGTGGAAACGCTAGAGAATTGAAATTTTTATCTGTGAGATGTATTCTACCACGAGAAGCATAAAAGTGTAATAGGAAAGATGTCCTCTTCTAAATAGATAGCATCGAAAAAGGAGAATTTCATTGAAATGTAACTCAGGAAGTACACTCTTGTACTTCATATGATGCAGGACTCTGCAAAATATGTACAGCCTATTAGTTGTTGACTGTACGTGGGCGAATTAGAGCAAACAAAGGCCTCTATTGGTTGGTATTGAAAATTACTGAAACCTAGGATGTCTACTTCTGCCTGATTCGGGACTCATCAGCCAGATGTATCTGAATTCACATAGAGTGACTGTGTTTCTACAGATTCAGACTCCAAAGGATTATCCACTAGGCCATAAATGTCACCTTTTTGTGCAACAAATATCAATTGGTACTTGTTTTTAGTTCTAATCTTGCATTTTCTACCGATTAATTTTTGCTGAACTAGCTCGAAGTAGGGACATTTCGACATGTTAACAGTGACCAAGCATTTTAGTTCCGGAAACATCCTTCAGAACTGAAAAAACCGGTAAACGCTTCGTTTATACGAGGTAAATTCATTAAAAAGAATAAGTAAATGACACATTTTCTTTCATTCCTCTATGTGCCCATTGGGCAAAGAGCTTCAAGATGCAAACTTTGAAGTTTCAGTAGAGGTGGTCGTATTCTTTTACTGGGTGGCATCGCTAGTCTAACTTTGAACCTTCCTTTTTTCTATGGTATTTACCAACTGAGGGATACATTAGGAGTGTATTGGCTAGTAGTCGAATCCAGGTCATGTGGATGGCCGGTGAGTATGTTATCACTGAACTACTGACGAACAAAAACGATGCGTAAATGAATGTGAAACACGTCGCGCTACTTAGCTGGATCTAAACAGGAATAAGTGATTACTCTGAAACATTCTTATTAATAAGAGTTGATGGGAAAGATACCTAGTAAGTATGAGCAATACACAGGATGTAGACGAAACCAGTTGGGGTTGGCGGATCGTAACTTGTTTCCATATATTATCCATCAAGTAGGTGCATTTTCAACAAAGACTTGATATGAAGTATTTCACTTTTACTCCGAAAAAGCTTAAAGTCGCAAGCGACCAAACTTACTAGGATATTCACCACTATACGTTGAAGAATTAACCTCCACGTTAGATAAAATGACTCCTCTGCCTTTAAAGTTCTGATAAACTACATGTCGCAATGAAGTCTAATATAGACATCTGGTAATAAAAGATGAATTATGTTACGCTCATTTATCTGCAGCAGTCACTGAATTTCAGTGAACTTTAATTTCTTGATTGAACACTAGGTAGAAACTAATTTCATGCGTTTATTCCTTCGTCTGTTGCGGACTGAATTCTATTAAAATAAAGTTTGTAATGTGGCCACCATGCAACTAAAAAGGGGTACACCATCATGACTCACTTTGAATTATTGTTAGATGGTTAGAGGCAATAGGTAGGAAGCCTTGGATCTAGGTTTAGTTGTTGTTATTGGCACTAGTCAACAAGGCGTGTCTACGGTCTTGTAGAAACGCATATCCCTTCTAAGATTCGAGTTTAGATCACCTTCCAATACGGTAATCACAGAGAGATTTTCACCGGATTCTTCGAGTTCATAGCTGAACTCTTGTAGGATTGTATAGGATCGTTTTACTTGATAAAAACTGAATTCTATCAGCCACTAAATACCTAATAACAAAAATTCAGGCTGTGTGATGATGATATATAAACTGGTTAGTGAGCTTGATATTATAATGAAATGATTCCTGTTAAGTGATTTGTTTGCATAGTCGACTGATGAATTGGTCGATATTTATCTTTGATATTTTTACGCACGACAGTGGATTGGCCAAGCTTCCCAGATTGGACCCACACAAAAAACTTGGAGGATCTGTACTTCGTCGATGATATATGTCTGACTTCCCACAAACTGGAAGATATGCAAGTGAAAAACAACAAGTTGGCACAAAAAGCATCCAGAGAAGCTAGGACTCCAAATAAGCATAGAGAAAACAGAAGTGATGAAGATTCCCGGGCAACACCAACAGCAACAACAAAAAACAGACAACAATCAGCCAGCCATCAAATGGGAGGAACCTGAAAGAAACAACCTCCTTTACCTACCCACCTACCTGGGAAGCATCGTTTCAACTACAGGCGGAACTGACGAGGATATCAAAGCGGTGAGGATCGGAAAAGCAAGACAAGCTTTCATTACTGACTTCAAGTCTGTGTGGAAGTCACCAGCACTACTTAGCATGAAAAATAAGATCTGGATTTTCCACTGCGATGTGAAGTCAGTGCTACTCACCATACGGATCAGAGACTTTCACTGGGCGTCATTTTAGAGCACCTCAGAAAAACTACAGACCTTCGTTAACAGCTGTCTTTGCTCAATACTCCGCTCAAGATCAGTTGGCTGTCCAGGAAAGATCAGCAACAGTGATCTCTGGCAATAAACGAACCAACGCAGCAGGAACCGATTGTGCAACAAATAGGCAGGAAGAAATGGAGATAGATTGGCTGGCCATACTCTGAGGAAGTGAACCATCAAGTGACATCACACGCCAGGCCATCACTCGAGTGGAACTCCAAGGGGAAGGGGTGAGTTGGTCGTCAGTGTGAGGATGACTTGGAGGAGGTGATGTGAAAAGGAGATGAAAGCATGTGGGCAGACTTGGAGCCAGGTGAAAACTCTAGCAGAGAACCGAACGCACTGGAGACTTGGGGGTGAAGCCTTATGTTTCTGTAGGAATTAAAGGAAATAATAATATGAGGTGCTCCATACTCTACTCAGAGCTTCCTAAATACTGTGTCTACCAAGATGACAAGTTTTAAGAAAAAATCATCATCAAACAAACATAATCGATACCATGTTAATACAATCTTCATTTCTCGCCTCTATTCGTTTTATCAATGAATATGAACACGCATAAATTCCAATTTTATAGTCGAGTTATGAGTTTGCACCGTTAAACATCAATCAATCAATCAAGGAGTTATAGAGACAAAAACCGAAAAAGAATGTACAGACAGGAATGATATTAGAAGCCTTCATTTTTACATGCCAAAGAGGCAATTATTAAATTCGCTACATCATACGGAAGCCATATTGCTGAGAATGTTGTCAACGAAGCTAATGAAAGACCTGCTGGGGAAATTTAACTAATTCTTAAGCTTGTCAATTCTAACTTACTGTGAATGATATAACTTTGCATTACATATGACAAAATGAAGCCAATTATTATTATCATTACTGCGTACACATTTGTTTCGCTTTTTTTCGTTGTTGTTGCTGTGTTACTTCTAGACTGATTGACGTTTAACAGTGCAAACATGTGGAATTTTTGTTCATTGGTTTCTCTACCTCCCTCCACAAAAAGAAACTACGAAATTCAAGAATATAATATAGACATAAATATATAACTAATATTTTTTTCGACTTTATATTGGAATTTATTCATTGCCATTGTGAATGAAGGCTGTCTTAGCATTGTATCGATTAAATTTTTTTTGATAGTTTTTTAAAGTTACCAGCTAGATATATCTAATATCGAAATCCAGTAGGTGCGTCGGTGGCACATAGGTTAGGACTCTCGAAGTTCATGCACACGATCTGGGGTATGATCCCCAGCCACGCACTTCTTTACCTCACCTTGTTAAGTCAGTAATAAAGCTGGTAAAGAGGAAAGGTTGGGCATGAGGCTAGCAACCCTATCCTCTAAAAATAAACACCACTGCTACAGAATCTTCAAGCCTCTGGCTTGAAGCCCTATATCGCACTGGGAACGTGAAGGAATAGAAATACTCTAAATAATGTAACGGAATAATTTATTTAATTCAATTTATATTTTCCCGACGATCAACTGGACTGAAGTGCTCGATCTCAGGTCGACATGTCAGCTTCTTGTTCAGATGTTTCGATGATGTCTGATCATGTAACCTGAAGTCAATTGGTGGATGGTGACTAGCAGTGGAATCCAGTATGCGCACTTCGTCCTTTTTGGGACTCATCATCTGGATGTGATTCAGTGAATGTGTTCCCATCGAGGCTCGAACCCTGTGGACATAGTCTGAAACGCCAAAGCGTTATCCACTAGACCACTCGGGCCAAGACAACCACCTCTTATGTCACGGGTCATATTAATTATTTAATTCAATTTTAGATCAATGAAATTTGTCATTATTTTTATCTTTTTTCCTACACTGTATATTGTTGTTCCAACTTTACGTTGACGACACATTTGTAATAGTTGAAAGAAATGATTTGGAATATACCCAAAAAAATAATAAATAACATATTTTCGGAAATTAGATTCACCACGAGAGAAGAAGAATTAGACAATAAAATTCCAGTCGCAGATGCCTTAATCAACAGAACCAACATAGGAAATTACGAAACACAATTATTTAGAAAATCAACATACACAGATCAAATACGCAAGTATAATAGGAATAATCCAACCCAATTACCCACAGAAGACACTGTGTGCAGACATTGTTTAAAAGAGTTCAAACACACACACACACACTACAGCACTCCTGTGTTGAAGAGAATTCAAGGGAAATATCTAATAATCATCTTCAAAAAGAATGCATATCCCCCTCAGAATTTCAT